GGTGTTTTAAAAATTACCATGCGTTTATTTCCTAGGTATTTGTAAAATAGTACAATTTTCTTTTTTAATTTTTTTTTTAGCTTCAGATAGTCTACCTGAAGAAGCTGGGAAGGCAAGGCACTGTGGTACAATGGGAAACAACATTGGATTTGTAGTTAGGGGACCAGGTTTCAGTTCCCAGCATTGCCAGTGCTGCCTGAGTAATGTTAAATAAGCCAATTAACTTCTCTATGCCTCAGTTTCCTCATCTGTAAAATTAAGGGGTTGTACTAGATAACCTTTAATGTCCTATGGCTTTAAGACAAACTGCTAATGTTAGTCATTGATACACATACAAGAGTAAGATCAGAAGTCGAGAAAAGATCTTTCTGGAAAACATGTTTAAGCTATATTAAAATGTTTTGGGAATCTCTTTGAAAGTATTTAAATCATCAAATACTTAGCAGCTTTGGCATTGCCCTCAAGAAGGGAAACTGATGGGTCCTTTTCAGTATTGGTTGGTCATTGTGTGTATTTGGATTAGAAAAAAGAAATCTTCCTAATCTATTTTTACCATTTGATTTATACTTTTAAAAACTCTGCCCCAGTAAGAAGTGTGTAATTGCATAATATTTCAGTAATCTAGTGCTGATTTTTTAACAAAACAAGGCGTTCATTTATTGTTCTGTTTGTGATCCCATAGAAGAGCAAAAGGCTCATCTATTGAAAACAGATGCAGTGTTGGTTATATAATGTGACATTTGGATAATATGATACTTAAAATCCTCTTATTTTTAAATGGAAATTTTTAAAGATACCATCAGTCAAGTTAATGCCAGCCAATGAGCCACAGGCAGCAGAATCATTATGATTTACACTTCAAGAGTTAGTTTAAATTGATGCACTTATTATTACTTAACTTATGTTGACATATGAATCATTTCTCTCCAGTACTAAATTTTCAGGATATGAAACTTTTATTATAAATGTTTATATGTCACATATAATACTTAGGGGAATTCATCCTCTTAGCCATTGATAAACACCCGATGAATAAATGAATTGAATACTGGTGGAACTTTAGGTACATCATGATAAGTAAAAACCATAGCTAAAATTTGAAGAAAAATAATAATAAACATAATTTAAAATAAAAGCAGGTACTTTGTATCATAACCAAGTTTTATATTTAATAATCTATAGCTTGTAAGGTGAAACAGTATGACATAGTGGGTAGAGAGCTGGTCTTGGTGCCAGGACACCCTGGGTTCAAGTTTTTTTTGAAAACATTGGCTATATGATCAGAATGACGAATTCCATATAAACTTGGATATCTGATGATCAATTCAAACCTGAAACATGTCACTTTTATCAAAAAGATTTCTGTTTAGAGCGGGCGTCCTTGTTCATTTCTCCTTTTCTTACTCCTTGCTCCAGCATTTAAATATTTATTCCTAGGTCTACCAGGAGCAGCAATTGAGTAAATCAAAGAAAGCAACATATCTTATTTAGTGCCTTGTCTAGTTCTATCTGTGAATATGATGTGAAGAGTTAGTTATATTTCATTTGATGGATTTTTAAATGCGAACAATTCTTAAGAGACATAAAAAGATATCAGTAAAAGTTAGAAACAATGTTTATAGGGTCATAGAACTTAGACACTGGGCAAGACTATAGAGATCATCTGCTTCCATCCTGTCATTTCACAGATGAGAAGATGGAAGACAAAAGAGGTGGAATAAGTTATCCAAGGTCATACAGATACTAAGTGTAGCACTGAAATTCAAACCCAGTTTCAGATGCAATGCTTTTGCCTTCATATTCCTCATTCTGTTATTTAAGGATAATTTATTGATGCAATTTCAAGAACATAGATTCATTTAAGGCCCCTCATTAAATAATCTTAAGACATGCGTGTGAGATTATTGTAGGAGTTATTTAACCATATTTTTCACCGTTTGATTAGAAGGTACTTCTGATTTGGATTATGTAGGGAATATGTATTTCTTCTAATACAAATCCTCTGTGAGGTAAGTAAATATTTTTGAACATAATTAGATTCAATGTGAGATACTAAAACAATGGTTTATGCCTGTCACTTACAATCTTGTTGCTACTGCTGGTCTACAGAAATCAAAAACTTATTATTAAAGTCATTTAAAGATTGTACTTCTTTGCCACTAGTTTGTCCTTGCCATTTTCCCCCACTGCCCTTCTCTCTACCTTTGTCCTCCACCAAAAATAGTCATTTGCCTCACAAATTAACAGAAGAAGAGTCGGATGGAAAAGTGTATAATGCTTCCCACAGCTGTGCTCATATTTGTAAAGCATTTTAATTTATTTGGCCAGTAAACCAGGCATTTGAATTTGAGCACTAGTTTCTCTAGCCTGCCAGCTAAAAGTAAAAAACAGGCCAGCATACAGGTTAGTGCACTATTTCTAATTTGAACTTCGTAATTCTGTACATTATATCATGTATGTTAGTCCTGACTATATTATTCTTTATGCACATTTGTGCTATAGTTTTCCTTTCCCTAATTACTTTAATAGCACTAATTATAGTAGATAATTTAGAAGTATATTAAGTATTTTCCATTTTAGGTTGAAAAATATTAATCTCTTAGAGAATTTAGGTTGTTCCCTATGGGAAATCATCTCTGTTCACTCTGCTGGAACAGGGACAATATTGCTATCTTGAAGTGGTGATAAATTTAACTTTTTTGTTGCTCCAGACCCATGATTTCATCATTGTAGGGAGCTCTTGGTACAGAAAATCCTTTCATTAATGCAGATTAACAACTCACTTGCATCTTAAAGTCCTATAGAGATTTTGAGTCCCTGAGAGGTGAAGTGTTAAGCCTTCGGTCACACAGTTGATATGTGTCAAAACTAGGATATAAATTGAATCTTTCTATCAGTAGTACTGAGTGCCTACTATGTGCCTGGCTAAGTGCTGGGAATACAAATAAGAAAAAGAAAGACCTCCCTGGTTGCCCTCTATATACTATACCACCTTACCTCCCAAACCAAAAATTAGGGACCAAAATTAGGTCCCCTTCACATCTGTTGATTCATCTAGTAAGTCATAAAATAACATTTTCATCCAAAGATATTGTAGCAGTTATGCTACACAATGAAGACACAAGAAGGATTGACCACTGTAGATAAGAAGCCTAAACCAGCAGGAAATAAATTCAGTACACATTTATTGAACAACTGTTCTTCGTAAGATGACAGTGCTTTGATTGTAGAGGGGTGGGTAATGCCAAGGTGGAAAAGCTCATCCTGTACTGGACAGCACAACTGATACAATACCTTTGGATAAAAATGTGAAGCTACCATTTATGACTTGCTAGATGAATCAGTGGAGACATTTACCATGCAAGTGAACCAGCCCCTGCCTTCAAGGAATTTATATTCTATGGGTGGGAAGGACTTTACACATGTAAGTTGTTGAGGAGTTTCTCAACCAGGGTTTTCTAGAGTAGAGGCTCACCTACCAGCAGGTCCACAGGTTAGATGTCAAATAAACTGAGAAGCTAGAGTAAAGAGAAAAGATATATTAAAACACTAAGGCAACTTCTTGTTTTTAGCAACTTCCACTTTCTCAGGAAGTGGTAGTTGATTGTGTTTATCCTGCAGTACATAGAGTGCCGGCTCTGGAATCAGGAAAACTTGAGTTCAGATTGGCTTTAGACACTTACTAGTTGTGTCACCCTGGACTAGTCATTCACCCTCTGATTGCCTCAGTTTCCTCATCTGTAAAATGGGGATCATAATAATCCACCTCCCAGGGTTGTTGGGGAGGATTAAATGAGATAATATTTGTAAAGTTCTTAGCACAGTGCTTGGCACATAATAAGCATTATATAAGACTTGGCCATTTCACATCTTTTCTTCGAGGCTAGGCTTGAACTTTATAATAACAATGCTCAATTTTGTTATTGTTATTCTTTCCATTTTTACATTGTAGTAGGTATAATGAGCATCATTTTCCTGATTCTTTTTCTCTTTATATCGGTCCTTTTAAGTTTTCCCTCTGTTTCTCTGTAATTTTATTCATCATTTGATAAAACAGTATATTCATGTATCAAAACTTATCTATCCATTCCTTAATTGGTGTACATTTGCTTTATTTTTATTTCAACACTACAAAAAAGTGCTCAGACAGCTGTTAAAGTGTTTAATTATTACTTTACATACAGGTAGGGCTCTGTCAGAGAGTCTCCTTCTCCCTTTTGATTCCCATTTATAAAATGTGAGCTAGCTTCCATAGGAATGGGATTCTAGAAGCACCTGGAATCATTAGCATGCCATGTTCTTTCATCTACAAGCCCCTTTGCCAGCTTTGTTCAGGTGAAGTGACTACAGAATTGACTGAAAAAGGACAGAATAGAATATGATTAGGCAACAGGAACCCAGTTGCCCCTGCTTAAGGGGAAAGACATGGAAAATTGCCTTGCTAGGGGCTTGAAAAACTGGTCAGGTCCTTACAGCTCCTCTCTGGTTATCCTCTAGGCTTCAGTCCCACTCTTTTTCAAAAGTAAAGGGGAAAACTAGATGCATATATGGAACTGATTTCTGGATATATCCATTCTATAAGATTTCCGGGATCTAGGATTTCATACCTCACGGTGCTCTATCATGCAGTTCACGATTTCTGTGCCCTAGTGAAAAGACTTCATGAATTGCTGTGGATGAAAAAAAAATTGGTGGACAGCCCTTGGATAAGGAGCCTTTTCAGATTTAGCTAGGGTGTTCAAAGGGTTTTTTGAATGACAAACATACAGGCTGTTCTAGGGTTTCAGGGCTTAGGATCTACTGACACAGCCAGCAAGAAACCAGAATCTCTGCCATACCTTGATGAAGCAAGCATTAGAATAGGACTCTTTGTGGAAAACCACAAAGTATATCTGGATGCATTTCTGTTTCCTTTTTCTTTTTTAAGTTTTAAATAAGATCCAGTATGTTTTGTCATTTGACTTTGACTTGTAGTGTATTGAACTGTTTTAATTTTCCAGATATTTCGAAGGAAAGCAGTGGAACTTGGAGAAAAATTACTTCCTGCATTTCATACTCCCTCTGGAATACCTTGGGCATTGCTGAATTTGAAGAGGTAAAATTCTTAATTTATGTAATCACATTAATAGGAAGATGAGTTATTATTTGAGTCTGGGGCTGATTAATTCATTTGGATATAGTTTGGAGGTTTGTACTCTAACCTTGTACAGGCTGATTAGCTTTGCTATTCTGTTTAGCCATCTCACAAATATTTGTCATTGTTCACAATTAAGACCAGGAAATAGAAGTCATTGTTTTCCAAACACTGTGAAAAAAACAATTTTAAGTATATGCCCTGTGAACATTAGGTTAGAGGCATTATTTCTGTATTTACAAAGAAACGTCATATTGTCATTGTTTTTTGCTCAACAGAAGGGGTTCTGTATTTGTTAAGCACTTCTCAGGGGATCTAGACCATTTTGTCATGGATTTAAGCTGCATGCCAGAATGTATTACAAAATGAAAACACTCTTGCCAGTAGATGGACATCAATCTTGGAGCAACTTATGTGGTGGAAGGTTCCCTTGAGACCATCCAGTCTGCAACTGAACCTAGGAGAAAGGATTAGTTCATGAGCCCATGAAAATCTCCAAGGTTGAATAGATTCTTGAGTTGATAGAGCTTTTCTGTTTGCTCTGTCCCTTCATTCTAAAAGGAAAAGTAGTTCAGCCTATGAAAAAGGTGGGGAGTGTTGGTTTATCAGTCTACAAGCAAGCTCCAAGGAGGCCTGGACCGAAGACCTAAAAGACCCTCCTTCTGTTCCTGTTGGGAGTAATTTGATTAACTCTTGTTGTTTGAGCATCCATTTGATTAACCATTTTCTCTTAGTTTCCCCAGTTAACTCCATCCCAACAAAATATGAAAGCAATATGTACTCTCGTGCCTGTGGTCTTGCTTTTTATAGAATATATGTGTGCGTGTGCACATAAAAATGTACTTGCATGAAATTATCAGATTTGTCCATTTAAAAGCACCAAATCAAAAATTTTTTAAATAGGCTATTTTGATGCACATTAAATTTTAACATAGATTTCTTCAGAACATATGTTTTTTCCTAAATATTTCATACAAGCATCTGGTTTTCTTCAGACATAAAGGACATTGATTATCACTCAATTAACTTTTTCCTTAAGATAGTCCATTTTCATGTATCCATTGTTTTAATCTATTATTATATATATCTGATAGCTTGAAAGATATAATATACTGTAGCCTACATGTAGTACTGGCCTAGTGGTCCTTGCAACTGAGTCACCTTTAACTGACGTGCTGCTGTATCAAGAATTTCATAACATGATGTATCAGGACTTATTCTTCTCTTGAGAGGAGAAGTCCTAAGATGTCTGCTGTGCCAGCTAAAAGCATATCTGCAGCCCCTCTCCATCTCCAGGAAGGGGTCCTGAGAGGCTGAATGATACAATAGAAGGAGCACTGCCTTTGGAATTCTGGTTCTGCCTTTATTATTTACCACCTATATGTCCTTAGGTCAAGTCACTTAATCTCACTGGGCCTCAGATTCCTGTAAAATGAAATGTAAAATGAAAAAGTTAGACTAGATAGCCCCTTTCACCTCTAAATCTATGAACTCTGATATTAAATTGAGCTTCAAAGATTATATCTCACATGAAAAAAATACTCCAAATCACTAATAGATACAAATTAAAGCAATTTTGAGGTTCCATCTCACACCCATCAGTCTGGCAAAGTTAGAAAGGGAAAAACCAGTTACAGTTGTTGGAGAAGCTTCAGGAAAACAAAAACACTAATGTACTGTTATTACAGCTTGAATTAATGAATTGGTCCAGTCATTCTGGAAAGGTATTTGGAACTATGCTCAGAGGTTACACTATGTAAGAGTGAAAGAGACTCATGAAAAAGCTTACTGTTATCTCTCAGCCCTTTCAAATAAACCCCCTCATTTTTGAAAAATGTGGAATATAGTATGACCTCTTCAGATTTCTTGCTTTTACATAGCAACATACAACATTAACTTCCATGTTTCCAAACTTTTCTCTGTATGAAACAGTCCCAAGATATCATGTTGACCACACTTGATTATAATGATTACCTAGCTATAAACATGTTCCTGCCAGATATTTTGGTTTGTTCTTGTGTGTACTTACTTTGGAGGGAAGGGATCAAGATAAAATGGAAAGCATCTAACCATAAAATAAACAGTGAAAGAAGTTAAAGAAATGAATAGAATTTTAGAAAAGTTAGATATGATAGAACTCTGGAGAAAACTGAATGGGAATAGAAAAGAGTATAACTTTTTCTCAGTTGTACATGGCACCTTCACAAAAATGACCATATGTTAGAGCAAATACAAATGCAAATAACAAATACAAAAAAGCAACAATGGAATCATCCCCCTCCCTCCTAGTTAAATAAAGGAACCTTTTCCTTTCCATTAATATGTTAATAAAAGGGGGATACCAGTTAATTCAGGTGGATGGGGATGATAAGCAGGAATGTTAAATCCATCCTTTTAGATCATAATGCAATAAAAGTTATTTTCAGTATTTGATGATGTGCTGTGTTTTTAGAGCTAGTTCTGAGGGTTCTGATGATCTAAGGAGAGGTCTGATCACTATTCCCCTGGCCTGTGCTCTAGTCTGTGAGCACGCATGAGTACTCTTTCTCACCCTGGAACTCTGACCAGAATTCCTGTTCTACATCTATAAGTGCTTTTGTTCCTTACAACACTGATATTATGACTTAGATTCCTACTGTCCTGCAGTCACAAGTGTTAGTGCTCTTTTCTGCCTTGGACTTGAGATCAGGGCCCCTATTCCCATGTGAATGAAGACAAGCACTCTTTTCCACCTTGGAACTGTGACCAGGGTCCCCAATTGCTGCAGTCATAAGCACTAGCACATTAACATTCCTCTTCACCCTGGGACTGTGAACTGTGTATGGGCAGTACAACAGGGTCCTATACCCAGTGCAAGAAAAGGGTCCCCTGTAATCTCTGTCTAACCAGTTTTCTGACCCCACACCTTATCATCTGTGGGCTGAGAGTTCTCAGAGCTAATGCAGCTGCCCCCCCAAGACCTGCTAGTAGCTTGCCAGGGCTTTCCAAGGCTGACTACTCCTTCCCGTGGTCCGCCCCAGTGAGAGAGACTTTTCCTGCCAACCTAAGTTGTCTTGGGCCAGAAAATTATTTCACCCAACCTTTTTTTTGTTTGTTTCTGTTGCTCTAGAATTTGATTTGAAGTGTTATTTTAGAGTTGTTTGGAAGGGAGCTTGGGAGAGGTCAAGTGACAGCTGTAATTAATTTTAATGAATTTTCCTTTTTTTTTTTTTACTCCTATTTACTTAAATAACAACATCCAAATCACATAGCAGTCAATGGTAAAATTTAATTGTAATATACATCTACCAAAACTCCTTTCCCCCTCAGTCATTCAGATACTCACATCTAGAGTACTCTACTTCTGGACATGAAACTCATTTATCTTCTTAAAGGATGTGATAAATAAGAGATGCTCTTTTTGCAAAAAAGAAAAAAAGTTAATATGGGAAAATGAATGCTGAAAGCAGCAAATCTATAGTTGGCACATTTTAACTTCCCAAGGAAGGCAGTGATTTAGCCAAATACTGGATTCCTGATGCTAGAACAGGAGTAATAGTGTCAACATAGGATGTTTGTGACAATTCTAAATGCCTATTTTTAACAGTGAAATCTATAAAGATGATTGTAATTTCATAATCTAGGGAGTCTAGGATGGTTGGCATGCAGTGCCTGCTGCTAATAATAGAAACATAGATTTAGAGCTGGAAGGGACCTCAGAGGTCATCTTATACAACCCTTTTTACTTTACATTGGGCACTTCAAGGTTCATACAGTGCTTTTCTCACAACGCTTCTGTAAGGTCAGTAGTATTTTATGTATGAGAAAAAATTCATTTTGCATATGAGAAATCCTAAATTCAGAAAGACTAATTAACTTGTTCAAGGTTACACAACCAGTGTCAGAGACAGGATTTTAGCCATTTTAGTTTTTTTAATGACACCACAATCACCAGGGGAAGCTTTTAAGGAAGAAAACAGAGAAGACTAGGCAAAGAGGAATGGAACATTTTCTCCTTTTCTAAAGGGGAGTAATGTAAAATAAGCCTGAGGATAGGTTAAAGCCAGAGTGTGGACTGCCTTAAAAGCCAAACTAAGGGGATTGTATTTTGTCCTATAGCAAATGGGGAGCCACTGAAGGATTTTGATCTGGGAAATATGTACAGGCTTATGTCTTAAGGAAGATAATTTCTGCTGCTGTGTAAAGAATAGATTGGAGATACTGAAGGCAAGTAGACCAATTAGAATGCTATTGTAATTATCCAGGAAAGATAAGGATCTGAGAGATAGCAATGGCCCTGCTATGGAAGAAAGGAAAGAGCATGAGTGGAAACAAGTGATGGATTTGTAGTTAAGGGCCCTGAACTTGAATCTCACCTGACATTCAATACTTGTGTGACATTAGGTGAGTCATTTAATTTAGTTTCCTCACCTATAAAATGAGTAGGGTAGACAGGATAACTTTAAAGTGCCCTTTCAGCTCTAAATCTATCATCCTAAATCATATCAATTGACCAGCCTTGATTACTATAATGACCAAGTCATATTTTTCTTTGTATCAACCCTGATCCCTAGTACAGTGACTTGCAAAGTAGGTATTTTATTAATATTGGTCAAATGAATATGGTATAAGACATTAACCCTGCCTTTAAGGAACTTATTGTTAGAAAGGTAAAAATTCTTAACTTCTCTAGGTTGTTGTGAGGGAAACACTTTTCAACATTTGCTTATACAAGCATAAGCAACAGTTCAATTTGCTTCATTTTACAGATGAGCAAACTGAGGCCCAGAGAGATAGTGTTTTCTTCAAGGCCATATGGCTAGTTAATAGCATAGTCAGAACTAAAAATTCTGTTCTCACTTCTATGCCAGTGTTCTATTGTACCACATTGCCCATCAACAAAGACATAAAATAAATAGCTATATAACATGGGCTTTGCCAAATTAGCAATTAAGATAATAGCATCCCCCAGAGCTATTATT